GGATGGAAGGAAGGAAGGAAGGAGGGAAGGAAGGAAGGAAGGAGAAAAATGTGGAAGGAAGAAGGAAGGAGAGAAAAGAAGGGGGAAGGAAAGAAGAAAGGAAGGAGGAAGGAAGGAAGGAAGGAGAAAAACGTGGAAGGAAGAAGGAAGGAGAGAAAATAAAGGGGAAGGAAAGAAGAAAGGAAGGAGGAAGGAAGGAAGGATGAAAGAAGGAGAGAAAAAGGTAGGGAAGAGAGAAAAAAGGGGGGAGGAAGGAGAGAAAATGTGGAAGGAGAAAGGAGAGAAAAGGGGGAAGGAAGGAAATATGAAAGGAAGAAGGGGAGAAAAGAAGGAGGAAGTAAGGAAAGAAAAGAAGGGGAAGGAAGGAAGGAAGGAAGGAGAGAGAGAGAAAAACATGGAAGGAAGAAGGAAGGAGAGAAAAGAAGGGGGAAGGAAAGAAGAAAGGAAGGAGGAAGGAAGGAAGGATGAAAGAAGGAGAGAAAAAGGTAGGGAAGAGAGAAAAAAGGGGGGAGGAAGGAGAGAAAATGTGGAAGGAGAAAGGAGAGAAAAGGGGGAAGGAAGGAAATATGAAAGGAAGAAGGTGAGAAAAGAAGGAGGAAGTAAGGAAAGAAAAGAAGGGGAAGGAAGGAAGGAAGGAAGGAGAGAGAGAGAAAAACATGGAAGGAAGAAGGAAGGAGAGAAAAGAATGGGGAAGAAAAGAAGAAAGGAAGGAGGAAGAAAGGAAGGAAATATGGAAGGAAATATGGAAGGATGAAGGAAGGAGAGAAAAGGAGGCAGGGAAGAGAGAAAAGAAGGGGGGAGGAAGGAGAGAAAATGTGGAAGGAAGGAGAAAGGAGAAAAAAGGGGGAAGGAAGGAAATATGAAAGGAAGAAGGTGAGAAAAGAAGGAGGAAGGAAGGAAAGAAAAGAAGGGAAAAGAAGGAAGGAAGGAAGGAAGGAAGGAAGGAAGGAAGGAAGGAAGGAAGGAAGGAGAGAAAAGAAGGGAGAAATGGCTCCTGAACTTCTTCATCAGTGCCTGGTCCATTTAGTGGACATTCCATACTGAAAACCAGTTTTAACTGGGATTCCTCCTGAGATCCTTTTGATGTGGGTCTGTTGAAAATGGCTTAATTCCGTAAGCACGTTAAGCCGGTGTGTCCTCACAGCCTGCAAATAAATGGTGTGTGGAAAGCAGAGGCTTAAATGTTTTTTTCTATTGAAATAAAAGCCTTTTTTTTCCTCTTTTTGTTTTGCTGCTTTGCAGATAACTAGAGGAATTCTTAGCCCCGAGCCGAAGGTCTCTCGGAGCAGCAGGGACGGATATTAAATATTTATTTGTAAACCTGGAGTCTTTATCTCCAAAACAGAGCTATGTTCAATCAAATTTAATTTAGGCAGGATAACCACGAGCATCTGGACCACAAAGTTCAGACCTCAGGGCCGTTATTGGTATTCCAAAATGGAGATGCAGACATTAATTTTCAGTTTTGCCATCAACCATGGCCAGGGCACCTGCGGGGATGAAGATGCACCCTTCTGGGAAGCTTGACTGGTTCATAACAATATGCAGTAAAATGTAATTTCTCCAGCAAAGCTCGCAGACGGATCTTTAAGTAGCGTCAGAACCATTCCCGTATTGTTTAATAACCGGTGTTGAGATTGCTTCCAGTGTGGGGTCCTTGGTGCTCTCTGAACTTGGCTGTTTCCTTCCAGATGTTTCTTCACCCACCTAGGTAACATCATCAGTGCTAGTAGGGAGAAGGGTTGGAGGAGGAGGAGGAGGAGGAGGATGATTGTGGGATCCTTGGTGCTCTCTGAACCTGGTTGTTTCCTTGCAGACATTTCATTACCCAACTAGCTAACATCATCAGTGCTAGAAGGGAGAGGGGTTTGTGGGGGCGAGGAAGAGAAGGAGGAGGAGGAAGAGGACCGTGGGGTCCTCGGTACTCTCTGAACTTGGTCGTTTCCTTGCCGACATTTCATTACCCAACTAGATAACATCATCAATCCCTTGTTCCCAACCTCTGCCAAAATTATTCCTTTTCGAAGGGAGATTCTACCTTCTCTGTCTAGATCTTTCTCCAGAAAAATCAGCAGAGGGGACAAACACCAGAAGGAGCAGGCAGAAGGCCAAAACCTAGCAAACTAAGGTGGTTCTTCCCATAGCTTCCACCTTTACCTGCCCACCAATGGTGAGGCCAGAAGCCAAGGTGTATCCCAGCACTCCTTCCGTGCCTTGCTGATTTATTCTTTGGCTGTCCCACCATAAATGTTCTGCTGAAGTCAGAAATGAAATCCTTCCGAGACGCAGCTGGTTCGGCGATGACCCTCAGAGAGGTCATTTACGATGGACCCTGATTAGCTGACTCCAAAACTTACTTTGGGGGCTATTTTTCTCGCTCTCCTCTTTTTTTTTAAAAAAAAAAGGCGCTCCAGAGCTTCCGGGAGGGCAAAAATGGCCTCCCTCAGGTTCCTGAGGCCCTCTGGAGGCTTTGTGGAATAGCAATAGCAATAGCAATAGCAGACTTATATACCGCTTCATAGGGCTTTCAGCCCTCTCTAAGCGGTTTTTACAGAGTCAGCATATCGCCCCCAACAACAATCCGGGTCCTCATTTTACCCACCTCGGAAGGTTGGAAGGCTGAGTCAACCCTGAGCCGGTGAGATTTGAACAGCTGAACTGCAGAACTGCAGTCAGCTGAAGTAGCCTGCAGTGCTGCATTTAACCACTGCACCACCTTGGTTCTCTACTGCCGGAGGCCTGTTTTTCATCCTCCCAGAGCATCCGTGCGGCCCCTGCACTTACCTGGCATGATTAATGGGCCGTGTGGAGATTCCTGGAAGAGGTGGTGGAGGGTGGGCAGGGCCAGCCAACAAACCAGATGTAAAATTAACATCCAGTTTGCCAGGGTCCTCCACATCCTCCAGAGCCGACTCAGAGGGCCCCTCACTGTCGGAGTCTGGTGGCAGCTCCAACGACACCTGCTGGGCCACAACAATTACCCAAGTAGGTAACATCATGATCACACTGATGATGTGACTTACTTGGGTAATGAAATGTCTAATGACTTGATTATCAATAGGAGAAGGTATTTGTAGCTCAGGGTTGGACTGGGGGTCCTTGGTGCTCTCTGAGCGTGGTTTTCTTGGCCGACGTTTCATTACCCAAACTGATGGTGTTACCTTGCTGGATAATGAAACATCTGATGATTATCTAGTTGGGTAATGAAACATCTGCAAAAAAAAATCAACCTCAGAGATCACCAAGGACCTCCTTTCAACCCTGTACTACAAATATTCTCCTCTCTTGCTACCTATTTCCATACCTTGAAAGTGTGCCACCACTTATTTGGGCTTACAAGTGTTTATATGCATACGTGCATCAGTTAGAAACAATTATTTGTATTCAGTTGACGTGTGGGTCTTTGGATGGTCATCGTGACGATGGCTTGTGGAAGAAGGCTGGTGTTCAGACCTTGTTTTCCTTCCTTCTCTTGCTTTAAGGGAAGAGTCTTTAAGTTACATCTGTCTATTTTTCATTTGCTTCCTGTCCAAGGTCAGAAAACATGAGTGCATGTGTGGTTTATTACCCAATTTTAGCCTTGAAATCTGCAGTCAGAGGCCCCATGAGCTGGAGGAGAGGATTTTGGCTCAGCCTAGAAATAAAAACGATATTTTCGCAGAGATGCAGTACCTGTGCATGACAAGCCCTCAGTTAGAGGAGTTTCTCCTAAAGCGAGCCATATGCTTGCTGTCTAGCTAAGTCCACCATGAGCTGTCTTTATCACATTGTTTTGGAATGGACCTCCAAAGGGATTCTTGGAGAACTTAGAGACTGGCCGTTTATCAAGTCGGATGATGGGTTCAGCCGGCCCTTTTCTGATCATCGCAGCTTTTCACAATGTCAGTCCTACTTGGAAGCCCTTCAAAGCCAGTATTTCGGGTCTGAATCTGTCCCAGCCTGCCTTGGTCACCTCCATTACTTGTACAACCTGCCCAGTGGTGAAATTTAATATTTTTTTTACTACTGGTTCTGTGGGTGTGGCTTGATGGACGTGGCAGGGGAAGGATACTGTAAAATCCCCAATTCCTCCCCACTCCAGGGGAAGGATACTGCAAAATCCCCATTCCCTCCCCACTTCAGGGGAAGGATATTGCAAAATCCCCATTTCCTCCCCACTTCAGGGGAAGGATATTGCAAAATCCCCATTTCCTCC